CCTTTCACGTGCTGCGCCTCAACAACTGAGTAGTTCTAATGATTTTTCTCTTAAGTCAGACAGGGAAGCATCGTTAAGGTAACTATCAAATGAAGCCTACGAGAAAAGATGACTCGCGTTATGAACCTCGAACAAAGGACGACTAAAACATACCAGTCTTATTTGATCGTAAAGCTCTTGCTTACAATAGAAACGCTATTTGACTGCCGTATCGAAATGTTTATGTTATCCTTTGGGTAAGAATAATGTGAAAAAAATAGCTACCAGTTCAAAATTTTCTAATTTGCCTAAACTGTACCTGATCAAAACTCGTCATCAGATAGAATAGTGTCAGACCAGATAATTGTGCGCTTAAATAAGCGATACCCCTCCTAAAGCATATTTTAAAACAACTAACGAGTTACTGCTGCGATATATATATATATATAGTGGTACATCCCTGTCGAACAATTTTTTCCTGAAAATATATTCAAATATACCCTTTATTATTTCGTAAGAGCTCAGCTTATTTTGGTTCTTTTGTTTTATAGAAAACATGTTGATTTGAGGTTTATCGTTCAAATATCGGGCTTTCGTTTGAAGCATACACATTTGAGGATATGGCTTGTCATAATGCTATATTTGTTAACACCGACAAGCCCTGAGTGCTATGCATAGTACAAGGCTAGATCAGCTTTCGTAAGAAACGATATCCGTTGAAAAAAACACACACCTAAAGATAGTAGGGAAAGAAAATGTTGGCATTAAAAAAAAAAAAAAATTTTAGCTTTCCTCTTTAGGCCTTTAGTTTAAATAAGATATATTTTTAACCGTTCTCTAAAAAAAATTCAATAAATTTTAAAAAAATCTATATATATACCCAACATGTCTGTGAGTATGTTTAGTCAAGTACTATCAGGTACTTAGTCAATACTGAAATCACATTAAGATTAAGAGAAGTTTACATTCGTTCGCATTTTTTCTGTAAAGACGACCTGTTATCTTCTTTATTATTTATTATTATTATTACAGGTGGTTATTGCCTTTTATTCGATGCGCTGCCTTCTCTCGAGGAAAGCCCTTTCAGGAGGTCGATCTCAGCTAGTGTAATCGAGATGAACTCATATAGAATATAAGCTCTTGTTACAGCCGATAGTTGCGGACAACTAGTCTGATACGGGGCAATAGCTTGCCATTTTCCAGAGTTCACGGTAAGCAACATCAGTAGAGAGCGGATCCAACACAAAGTCATGTCACGGGGTGTTGCGAGATCCCCGAGGTTGGCTTGAATGAACCGCTAGTAGTAACGGACCTCGACCCATGATGCCACTCCCAGAGACCACAGACGCTGGCTGCCACAGTTTTATATAGGTACACACGTACAGTCTTCGCAACGCGATGGGAACCGGTCCTCCTTACTCCTTCAAGTTCGATCAGTCCTTATGATTTCGCTGCCTCAATAGATGACATCGTCATTTCGAGGCACGGCATCAACCCGCCACATGTAGCAATCGGAAGGCAATAAAATAATGAACGAACGCAATGTACGGACAAATGCAGGCAGGGCTTTCAGGCAGATACATGAAGGCCTGAAGAAGAAGATGATCTAAGGAAGGTGGAGCGCTTGCTGGGCCGACGCTATGATGATGACGATGCCCGTAATGGACCGGGGTATGCAGCGACGAAGCCCTCAGCGGTGAGAAAGCACAGGACTCTAAGTTAAGAAAAGCTGCTGGAGGATTTGGACGCAAAATGCCTTTTACGAAATATACATCGTTTAATACATCCGCAGCGTCGAAGAGGCAGCTGTTACTTAATCTAACGTAGGCCAAATCAAGTAACGCCGAAACTAGACAACAACTCAAACAAGTAAATAAAGTTGAATTAAATCATTATGCCACCAACACGTAAGTGTAGTTCGGTTAAAACTAAAGTGCTCCATAGTCCTTGACTTTTTCAGAATTAAGTTTCTAGATATACACCGTGCCGTTGATTTAAACTACGAACGAAAACTACGGCATAATATCTTCTGTTAGCTTTCCACGAATTGCTACTGTAAGCTAGAATCTCTTTCCCACGATCTTTTCTTTGTTTTCTGTTTATTGTTGTTGTCGTCATCGCGATCGCCGTGGTCTTCTTTTATTACGTGCGCTTAGCAGTAAAGTTGTTTACTGTTGGCATTTACCGTCCGCTCCCGTTTCGTCAATCCCTTCGTTCGCGGCAACAACGGCAGCAGCGACTTAAATATCCACATTCATTGTCTTCTTTCGATACGTGACGAAGAGCTGGCCGAGTTTCTTGTTCGGATCGCTTCGCCCTCTTAGCCTTATCGCGGCGTGCCGCTAATCACTTCTTATTGTTCCGCTGTTATTATTGGCCAGGATTCGTCCGGTTAAACAGTAGTTACACTACGATGAGGACGCAGTTCTGGGGCGCTTTATGACGATAGTAGCGGTAGCGACGACGGCCCAATGCTTGTGGCTGGAACCAAGGCTATTCGGCGTCAAGGAGCAACTTTTTTAGCTGCTACTTTTGGTCCTGTCCATCGGACGATTGCCGTGGGATACAACCCGCTGTTCGGTGGGCTAGCAGACCAGCGGTTTTGTCTGACGGTGGGTCATCGATTAAGATCGAAGCAATACTAGCAGCAGTAACAAAGAGAGCAGTGCGAGGCCTCGGTAACAGATAAGGGACATAGAGAAGGCAGACGCTTTGTGGTCAGTGCGCGGAAAGAGAGCAAACTCTGCACGGCGGGTAACGCAAAACTGGGCGGGTAACAAACTATTCCGCCCACAAAGTAGAAACGAGCTGTACAACCTTATGTCGACAACAGTCGCCAGCAACAGCAATGGTAGTAACAGCTCGATCTACACACAAACACACACATACATATAGTTGTAACGGAAGCACAACAAGAGCGGAAAGCGATTCGAGATGAGCACAGGACGGTGGGGTCTGTAGCGAATACAATGTCTTCTCCAGCTATTGGCAACAGAAGGGACCCCTTACGCCCTCCTCTTACCCAACAACCCCTTTTTATTTATCTCTACAATGCGGCGAGACGCCATGCGAATGAATTGACGCTTGTGGAGAGAGGAGAAGGACAAAGTGCTGGCAAAAAATAATATAGAGGCGCAAAAGTAGCAGCAGTTCTTTGGAATTGGCAGCGCGAGGACAGGCGACGTGCCCAGCATCGATGCAGCATCTTACAAAGCGTGCAAACAGTTCCTTGTTGTTAAAACTGCTCGTCGGACGGCTGACGTCGCCCGAAGGTATGTTGTCGTCAGTTTGAGCGCGTGGCCGCCTTCGTTTAACCCCAAAGAACAATAGGACCTCGTAACCTTGCAACGAATGAAGGCTTAAGGTAAACGTGAATAACACCCCACATAGGCTGCTGTGACATGGCATACTAGCGACCTGCTTTGATTGGTTAGCGTAACGAGCCAAAAAGTTAACGAACGCCCCTACAGCGTGCATAATTTTTGCATATAGATATATATATGTCATATGCATACATTAGTCTCATTAGTAAAGCATTCACTGCCTAGAATAACCAAATATATGGACAATCAGCTATGCGACAAGTACACTTACCTTATGAATATTATAAGATAAAAACAAATGGAAATCACACAATATTACGTTTTTTTATTTTTTTTTTTAATTTAATTCACTCTGTCTTATAGCCTATAACTTTCGTTTTAATTTTCCGCAAGCATCTGCACATTTTTCCAAAAGGTAAGGTTACTATCTGTTAGCGATTCGTTTAAGCTGTCAGTCGTCGTTGTATACAAGTATCTATCTGCTCGGCCTACCTAGAGTATTAGGCCCTGAATACCGTTCGCATGGTAGATATCGCCTGTCGTTGCCCTTGTCGTCTTGCGTCGACGATATATGTAGAAGCGAAGAACGCCATGCGTACTCCGGGTGGTCGCCGGCTCCTCGGCAACCCAGATCGGCCCAGCTTAACTCAACGTCGTCGTGACGAAACATGGCTTTACATTCAAGGAGATTTAGCTTTGGCTTCTCGTTCGCGGCAGTCTACCGATGAACGCATTTTTTTGTTAAACACATGAGACCATTTAAAACTTTCCTATAGAAATCGATAAGGCTAAGTAACCATTGGGCTAACCCACGATCCCTTGTTCAGAAGCGGAGGTCCGTCAACCGGAAATAGATGAACGGCAGAGCCAACGAAAAAAACCCATGAGAACAAAAGCAATGCTAGTCGAATAGTAATAAGAAAAAGTCGAAAAGGTTCCTCGCACAAAGAGCCCCCCTTTTTTTTTTTGCAAAAAACGTAAAAATCTACGTACGATAGGGTAGATTACGTTATTAGTTGTTTATTGAGAATATGAAAAAGCAAAGAGTGTTTATGGACAAAATTTCTAAAATTACATAAACTAGAAGTCGCCCGGGATAGCCGCAGAGTCTGATACATATATCAAAATCATACTCTGCAACGATTGATACATAAATGACTGTTTAAGTACGCGTCATATCCGTTCATAATCCTAATCCGTACAACAACGAGATTTAGCTGTGTTCAGCGACTGCAACTTACGATTGGTTGACCATAGAGAAGTTTATCTATACTGACAATAAAGTTGCAAACAACTAAACACAATACACTTATTCGAAAATATTAAAGTAATTTTTGTTTATTATAATGATTATATATAAAATAATTTACATTTTTAAAAAAAATTCACAGTGGAATGGAGCATATGTTGAAGACGAGTAAGCCGAACGACTTGTATCGTATTCATTTCTATTTAGCCATGGGCGAGAAAAATACACCTGCTAATTTTCGCGAATTCAACTAAAAACAAAATGGGGGATACGTAGGTGGGCGTTGTTTCTACAGTATGCAAGCAATCTAATTATACCGTTTTATATAGACGAAATAAATTAGTAATTAAAATTATATCATTGTAATAGTAACAATAATGTGTCAGGTCCCTGGGACATCGGTCCGCTATCATGCACTAATAGATCTCATTTTTCTGGGTTTATTGCAGGAGGACCATCTTGGCGATATCTTCGAAAGCGAAAGAAATGAGGAATCCGGCGATAACTATTGTATGATATATTCTCATTCCTACATAGATATCTCCTATTAGATTATGTCAAAATGGTGCACCCTTACTATCTATGCTATATAGTTGTATCGACGTTACTTGGTGGGCTACACGCCTACGAGTTTAACCACGCCCAAGACTAATTATTTCTTTCTATATCGTAATCTCTCTGTATATGTATGTGGGCTCGGTATACGACGATATTACGTGGGTTTGGTCTGCTAACAGCCAAAATAATTTTGACTCCCACCCAAGAGGGTAAGGTTGTAACTTATAATCGCCGATACATAATCGTAACTTGAGTTTCGTAACTAACAGCACTATCGCATTAACACTGAATGTAAATAGGTAAATCGTATGTTATGTCATGTATGTATAAATATTTACAAGTACGTCAAAGAACTGCTTCTGTTTCTATTATATTCTTCTTTCCTCAAAACAGTAGCTTTGCAGTAATATTTTAAGTTATGACAACTTACTTACCTAAACCCATATCGGACGATAGCTCCGATATGAGTTTAGGTAAGATAAATCAATCAGTGACGACGATAGATTTCGATACTATTTCGTTTAAAAACAAAAACTGGGCACTAAACCTTTTTTTTTGCTACATTTCCTGACACAATAGCCACTACTGTGAGAAGTATGGTTATTAATCCATCTAATTAAATTGATGGCTGTTATGACTGAATTAATTTACTACTTAAGTATATAGTGTATATCGCCTTCAACCCATGCGACATTTTTTTCATTAGTAACAAATCTTGTACTAATCATCTGCGCTCCATTTGACTTTCCTTAGCGTCATACGTACGTAAATACAGTGTCCTTGTGAATAATGCTTTTTTTGCCTTTTTTTTTTATCCACCTAGTCCTTACACGACGAAGTATGCAGCACAGCGACTCCGGAAACCCAACATTAAGTCAGCAGATCTTCGAAATGACTACAAAAAGAACTATCTCTGATCAACTCTGCTGCATATAGCACCTCAATATAGGCAACAATTCTCAAGCCAGCCGGGTTACGCATTAAACGGGTTCGATGGGAACCAATTTATACGCTATATATTTCTAATTCATATGCTCGACTGACCAATTTTATTTTGACCAGTTTCGCGCATTTTACCTGTCCATCTAATAATTTTCGATCCTTTTTCCGGGCCTTAGCTTAGCGAAATCCAGTGATATACCTTTCTCTCTCGCTTTATATGTATATTATATTTTCATCCTCTCTATGTGTTTCGTTCACTTCCTACCTGCCCTCCTACGCTCAGCAGTTACTAATCAAATCCCTTGAGCATGATCTTCACTCTAGGGTTCCTCGTCGGCTCACTTTAAGATTCCATCGATTTGACTCTCATTCTATTGGCTGTCGGTGCTTCCCGTTTTTCGCCCCGCAAAAGCGCTGACGTTTTTCTTTATTTCTTAACCGTTTTCATTCATTTTAGGACTTATAACAGCGTGTACGAGCGTATATTTATTCAGGACGCTGATCTTGACGTCGGCGTCCCTGAGCCTATTGATTGCTTCGCGGCTCCTGACGTGCATGCCGTTGCCGCCACATACAGTCTGTCATTGATGCTTCGCCCGCTATTACTACGTAGTTTTGTGTTCGGCACGCTAGTACGTCGGACTGCTGTAACCCAAAAAGCATTCAGGTCAATATTTATATTCTATTAATTCTAACAGATTTAAGAACGAGATCGTCCTTGAAAGAGAAACGAGGCCCAGAGAGTGAAAGCACGCAGTAATCTTCAGCGCTTCATCGATGCACCTCTCCAACAATTCTGATCTCGGTCATTCGCACCGCTCCATACTCTCTCATTTCAACCTCCTTCACACACCCTCGCCCCCTAGCCCTCGCAAAACCCGCTACATACACCCGTAGACAAACGGGCATGCCAGTGCCCAAGTTTCTTTGATCTTTGACTTATCATCATCGCACGCCGATCCGTTCATTAGCTAGCCCAGTTGGTCAGCCGCGATCTGAATCGAGGCTAGCTCGAACCGTTGGCAACCTGGAATGGCACTAGCACGTTTTTTGTTCTTACCGTCGACCTTTTGGCTAAACCGTCCGCGCCCTCTATGTAAATTAGGTTATTTGTTTACTTATTTGATATAGCAGACCCATAGGTGAACAAACAGTTTAATCCAGCTGAAATGCAAAGCTTACTACTGAACACTTGCATACGATGTTTCAACCTTGTCTGCTTAGAGCGAATAACCAGCTAAAGCTTTCTACATTTAATAAATTTTTTATGTCAATTCATTACGGAACTTTGTATAATCCACCGTCTATATTGCTACACTATAAACCTACAATAGGTTTATACGGTATTTCCTACGAGGCCTCCGCATGTGAAACAACGCCTAGAGGATAAGACATTAATATGCCGATTTGGAGTACACTTGATAAGAGTGCGGTGCTCTGCGGAGCTCGTATCGCCTATTTTTTCGCCAGCATTCCGGCGAGATCCGCTTGAGACACTTATGGCTCTTATGATAGAAACATTCTGTGCATGATGCCATCCGAAACGCCTCTAGAAGAAGCAATGGACAACCGACAAGTGACCGGGACCCTTTGGGTTGTCGGCAATAAATTTTCTGAATTAATAACATTCACCTCGATGGATTAACACAACGAGTATTTAAAATTGATTTAACTCAAGGCATGCAACACTGACATAGAATTATAAAAAATCATCATTTTTGTCTAAGGAAAAGTTGCTGTCACTAAACTGGGTATGGCTTTAGTAAAATGACGCCGAAATCGTACAATGTCTGTTTAACGGTGAACCTAAAAATTTACTTGTAGAACCCCAATGAATAGTGCATTGCTTGTAAATTTTTTCTATGGTATATATGAACCTAGTTTAGACAACGTTTGACATTAGTAATAAAGAAGAGACTATCACGTGAACGACCATTACTACGATGGTCTACTACTACCACCACCAAGATAAACTATATGACTTTGCATAGGCTTATCTTGCGTAACAGATTTTAAAGGGAAGAAAGCCGGCACGATCAGCGGCGACAGGAGAAGCCAATGAACAGCGATGTAATGATGACCACGATAGTTTGTTTCCATGAAGAGTATCAGGAATAATAATTAGAAAAATAGTAGTATAGTTATAAAACGGTGCCCCATATGTTGTATAGGTGCATCGAAGCGTGCTTTCTTACAATGAATAGGTCTACCAATAGGCACTGAAACTTATGACAGGTTGTTTCTTCCGTGCAAAGTGTCCTGCTTTGCCTAAAACTATTCGTAAAACTATGCTTCCTTAGTCAAACTAGCGAGCAGCGTATATAAACTGGTTTAAGCTCAGTTTACGGCTTCTTCGACGGCGGTCGATGACGGCTTTTGTATCCCGAAAAACGTCTATTACGATATAAAAGAAAAAATAATTAAACGAGTTGTTTGAAATGTAGTTTCTCATCGCTAAAATATTGCAATCAAGTTATATTCGACGTACGGCTGGACAATGCGCGTTTTAGAAATTAGAAACAGAAACCGTGCTATACGGATACTATGCGTATCATTGAAGCTGACACATCGGAGCGACCTACCAATGCGATCTGAAAGCCTTTGGAAGACATCTATCAGGCTGGATAGATAGTCGGGCACGCTAGAACAAGTTCTATTTAGTAACCCTACTAACCTTATTTGTGTCAGCATAAGGTCAAAAACCGAAATTAACTAACAAATTCATTTAGTATCGTCGCTCTGTTTTCCAGCATAGAAACTGCATTGGAAAACCTATTTGTGAATAGGGAAAATTTTGAAACGGCTGTGGGCACGTTTTACAAGGAATAACTAGAACAGCGCACGAAGAGATAACAGCACGCAACAAATAATAGGACCACTAGAATCAAACGTCAAAGTCGAAAGAATGGGCGCATTCGGGCAAGTGGACGTTCCTTTATGGGCTGCAGGGAAAAGTGTAGACTGACACTTCCCTGAGCGGTCAAACTAGATGACTTTGACGTTTCGCTATAGGGTCCGGTGAAAATGAATACGACGACTTCACGCAAATATGGTTACGCTTGGAGACAGGGAGGCGCGCGCACACGCGCGAGCAGAGATTGCAAAAAAGCTGTATACAACCAGCATTGCGCATTGGCTGTGCTTCTGGATGAGCTTCCCAAGAGTTAGAAGAATACGCTTGCTTGTCCGTTGGCTGCCTGCCAGCTGAAGCTGCTCGATGAGGCAAGGCCATATGAGCAATAGCTTTATTTCGTCGATGTTTCGTGGGGTAAATGCGCTTTTCGTCGTGCACTTTTCACCATCAGCACCTGCTCTCCAGCATTTCCTGATAATGTGCGTCGCTCGATAGCCGTCTGTCATTGCCCAGCTTTAACCTTTTTCTCCACGCTTTCGCCTTCTCTGCTGTATCCCTTAATGAAATGGGATGAGCTTCTTTCCGTTCGGTTGCATCGACTGCCGTACTTCGGGCTGCGTTGGATGCTTGAGATGCTTCAGCCGTAAGGCAAGTTGAGCCGAAGCCTTGAATCCAAGCGAAGGCCCAGTTTGTGGCGTTTGCAAGCGGCTAGAGAGACCTTTCCGCAACCGCATCTGTTAGGCCACAGCATTTAAGCTCTTCCGCCTTTGTCTGCATCTCAGCTTTAGGACATACATCATCATATAAAGCGGGGCCTTTCAGTCTCGTTTCGTCCCATGGCTGCCGCAGGCTTCAGTGAACCCCAGTCGCACTCCTCCCTTTCTTTTTCTCGCTTACTCACGTCACCTTTTGTAGATAATAAGTAGATGCTAGCACACGGTCAGCGTTTCAAACACGCACTCACCAAGCCGGCCAGCCAGTCAGCCGGCGTTTAGGCCAGTGTGCACCCTGACCACCTCGCGGAAAACGATATCGTTCTTTCTCAGGTTAGCTGCTTTCGTTGGTCAGATGGGAAGAACGAGCCGGTCGTGCTCTCTCTTAACAGCCAAAACTCATGGCCAATTGGGTCCATTTCCCACCTTTGTCCCTAATCACT